GGGGATGTGGGGTCCCCCCACCCCACCCTGGCCCCAAGAATTTTCAAAGTTTTTAATATCTATGTAAAGTAAAGAAAAAATGTTACCTTGGACCCACAGGAAGCATGGACTGTTCTTAAAACAGTAAGGAGAGTCATGTTTTTGAAGAAAACTGGCTTAAGAAAGTACTAGTGTCTCCCACCCCTCCCCCTACAAAATAGGTTTGGGCAAGTTGTTTACGTTTTTTTTAAAAAAAAAAAAAAAACCATTGCTCGTCAAAAAATTTCCGAGTCTGACATATGGTCCCTACCCCGTTGGAAAAAAAATCTTGATTTCTGGATCCGCCTCTGTTAAATGTGGCTTTGTGGCTTGAAAGAATAACCTTCAAGTGAAGTGTGTAATGTTTACTAAATTATTCCTCCCCATGAACATACCATTGTTTTTAAATAAGGAAACATTCTTTTGCTGCATTTATGACTCCGTAGATAATGAAACTTATATTTATTCTTCCTTGTTTCGTTTATTGGTTCCTCATTTATAACATACATGTTATAAAGATTGGGGACCTTGAAGAAGCTTATTAAATAGTGGACCTGCTTCAAATGATTTCCTGGTTGTTGTTTTTTTTAAATCTGAGATAAATTGAACTATTCTAGGTAAGGCTGGTCGTCAGAGTCTGTATATATAAAATCATCATCCTTATAGGTCCATTTTGGACTTTCCTCTGCCAAAAATTGTTTTTCTCCCAAAACATAGGTTAGAGATCATAATTTGAAACAAGAGAGCTGGAGCGCATCATCATACAAGTCTGCTGTTCTAGTGTAGAGAAGATGCGTCTACTTACTTCTCTATCGTCTACTTTGTTATGTTAGGAGTCCATCAAGGAATTTTAGCTCTACTATTCGAAGCCCATAAGGGCTTAGAACATATTTTTGTATCAAATGTTACTCCTTCTATAGTTTTTGTTTGAACTGAATAAAACTAATACTATTAAGGACAAATATAGATTTCATGGAAACACATATTTCTGTGCGTTAGTTGTTGGTGAACAGTCTTAGCATCGTAATATAGAATCATCAACATGTTATCTAAAAGACTTAATAGCGATTCTCTGTAACCACTTAAACTTCTTTGCCACGTATGGTCACCGATTTTGATGAAACTTTGCCCATTATTACAACTTGACATTAGAAACATATATCAAATAAAATTTCGTTGCTATGTGTCTTGGTTGCCATTGTAACAGCCAGAAAAGTTGAAAAAATTGAGATTTTCAGCTACTTTGAATCTTTATTAAGCCTTAATAAAGACTAAGAAAAACAATCAAACCATTCTCACAAAAACATGACACCTTGTTGCCACTTATGCTATAAAGAAACTATTTAGAATTTATCTCTAAGTAAGTGGTAACCATGGGTACATTTGGAATACATTTTAGATGCTGAAAAACGCTCAAAATTCACTAATTATAGATGTTACATGATCAAACTCAATCAACAACCAAAGAAAAACAATAAAACTATTTGACCTTAAGTAATTAAGTATTGGCAATATTATTCTAAAAATAATTTTCATGGTTGCCATGGTAACACAGTGTAACCATGCAAAATCTGTTGCTAAGATTGGGTTAATGCTACTATCTTTAGGAAAAACAATAAAATTCATGTCTGGCACATATACATCCTTAGGACCTTGCAACACCGACAATATAAGAAAAATTGGGATTAATTGTTACTTTGCAGTGTATCCATGGAAACAACGTACCAGTAGTTTAAAATGATAATTTTTGCTGCTTTAGGAATTTACTTACCTTTTAATCAAGAAACATATTATTTTACTCACCTTGAATAGTACTTATCTGGTAGAACTAAAGTTGAATATCATATATTGATAAAGTTTGTTGAAAAATACAACACTGTTGCTATGGTTACCAAGAAGGGAAAATGTTCGATTTTGTTAATTTTAAATCAACATTAAATCCTATGTGCCAGCTTTTTGCATCCAGTTAGTGGTAGTCAAAATTGAAAGTCAGGTTAGTTGTTCATATATATCAATCATAAAAGTTTTGGGAATCTACATGCAAGGGTACGTATCCAAGGAAACAAAATATTTTTCAGATTTTTATGCATATTTTTTCGGCTAATTTCCATAGCAACGCTCTATTTAAAGATTTGAATTTGAATTGTTTGAAATGTGAAAATTATGGTCACACCAACGCCTTTAAAAATTGATCATCAGTTATATAGAAATATGCTTTTTAAAAAGATAGGATAAGATTAAAACACTAAGAGAGTAAATTTAGAATCCCTTTGTGTATTAAAACCATGGCAACCATTGCCAACCTATAAGAAATATCATATTTCGTCCTTGGTATATGTTACATGGATCTCTTGTCTATTATTTGCTTGCATTTCAACCTAAAAATTGTTTTTATTCTTAAGTGTATGACTTTATAAAATTAAGTGAACAAAATTATTACTTTTAAATACTTTGTTTCCATAGTAACGTATGTAATAGTTGATTTACCAAACATGTTTATCATGCATTTAAGACATCAGACCTTCAACTTTCAAAAACAGTCATTGCCATTTGTTTGCTTTGCTGCAAACGTTAACTGGGGGACTCTGAAGATGTTGAAAAATGCCATTTTTCAAACTTTAGGACATGTTGCTATGGTAACCATGACATGTAGCAACCAATTTTTGCCTGAATTGAGTTTACGGTATCAAAGACTTCTATCATAGAGAGTTTGGAGAAATTCTGAGACTATGCGTGCCACAGCTCTTATATAAAAGTTCAAGTCATTACAGAGAATGGCTCTTAATTATTACTGTTTCCTACTGCAGTTTTTCTCCGATTTGGACAAAACTTTGTATATAGAAGCCTATACAATGGTAAATAATTTTTTCGGGCATTTTTTATAACAACAGTGGGTTTTTTCTATTAAATTTGTTAGAATTTGAAATAAAAATCAAATTTACTTCATTTTGCTACTTATAAAAGAAGTGTTTGATTTGAAAAAAATATAGGTAGAAATTTTAGTAGTTGTTTACATATACACAATTTTATTGTACCGCTTTGATAGTTAATGAGATTTACTGCTACTGAAAATAGCACAGTAAAAAAATCATTTCCATTTCTGTAAACCATAAATCATGTCAATCATAACTGCATGAAATACTTTACTTTCCGGATTCAATTTTTTTTAATTTATTGAATTTCATTATAGATATGAAAGTATAGATTTTGAGAATGCAAGAATAAGGATGACTTTATAGGAAACGCTCTCCATAAAAATACATGTTCGCTTTAGCAATAATTTCTTTAGCATTTTTATTACCTTATGTCCTTAAATGACAAAATGTTGTCACATCTTAAAAGAATGTTTAGAGGAAAATTGCCTAAAGCACACATTTTTTTTCAGACTTAAGAAAACTATGGTTAAAAATCTCGGCCTGAACAACAGTCTCGTCAGAAACGTCTGATTTTTTTTAAAATATGGACACATTTAGATTTCTCTGCTTGGTTCTCACGAGTTATTAACAGTTACCCGTGAATTCATCGGACCTATCTTCTCATTAAAATAACTCCATTCCTCCTGAATCTTGTTAATTGGACCAGAAACCATTTCTTTTCTCATTGCACAATCGACATGTATGTAAGAAAACAAATTTATATAAAAAAAAAAATAAGTTGGTTATTTTTATTTTTTTTATTTATTTTCTTTCTTTTTTATTTTATTTATTAATTAATTAATTAATTTTTTTTTTTTTGGCCTCAAAGATGAGAGACGGTCAAAAATCCAATTAGATATCAATCACGTGACCGTGTGACGTCAAAGATAACAATGGCTGACCAGCTTGAACATATTTTATTGTAATTAATAAATATAATGGGATTGGGCACAAGTTCTGAAAACTTATTACGCCCTCTCCCTACATGTAAATTACATATTTAAATCGTCACAGTTAAACATGAAGTTTTAAAGTATACAATAACTGCAAAAGTTTACAAAACGATGCATTTTGCTGATATATCGATACACTTAATTTTGTACCAATGCATATACTGATACATTAGTTAATGCTAACAAGGAAATCTACCAGAATGTTTAATAAATAATTGAACAAAAGAAAAGAGACGTTCATTTTCTGCAGCATTCAATGAATCTACCCCCCATAATAAGACATGAGTATCTAGAATGTGGATCTTGGCAAATTGTAAAAATTTATTTAAGACCAGCTCACTAAAATATACGCGATACAACCTGGATTTTCTGCGTTATGGACGACCAAATCACTGATTTTTTTCAATTTGAATTCGGATATCCGACTTTATATTTTTGAACTGTCAGCAAGAGAAAAATCCGCAAAATCTGTCAGCATGAATGATTTGTAAAATAGAAGCGAAGATAACGAGGGAGACCCGGCAAAGACGAAGAAACTTGCCTAACAATACAATTTGATTTTTCATCTCATCACACGTGTAAACCAATTTTATTCACAAAATTAACATTATACAACTTTTTATTGTACATACTTATAATATTAATTTATGCAAGTATACCTTTGTATACTTTGTAAAGGCTGACAGACTGAAAAAATAATGTCCCAATCACAAAACATTACCGTAATCGGAGCTACAGATTCTAAACGTTTAGAATAAAAAACAAAAATATTACAAAAGCCTTATACCTTAAAACTAGTTTATATTTCTAGATACATGTAGTTATTGAAATACACGCTAGGAATTAAAATTTTCAGCATTTTTCATAATTAGTCTGCATTTGTTGTTGCTAACTCCGTTAACTTCTCTCTATCACTGAATTGTCGCCTATGACGTCAGAGCAGTATTTCGTCGAAATCCGATTGAAATATGCATATCGCCGTATTTGAATTTCAACTCTCAATATATGCTTAAAATATGCATACAACAACGTTTATTGGATTCAGTATTTTAACAATCAAGGTTGTATATAATATATAATTACGATTTTTTAAGAGCATGCGATAAGTCCTAAAAGTGAAAAATTTAACTCAGAAACACTTCCTATGGACGATGGATGGACCAGATTCGTCGTATTCCTGTTTGCTGATCCACATCTGTTCGAAGGTGGATAGAGAAGCAAGGATAGAACCACCAATCCAGACGGAATATTTCCTCTCTGGTGATGCAATGACCTTGATTTCCATTGTGCTAGGAGCTAAAGCTGTGATTTCCTTCTGCATCCGGTCGGCAAAACCAGGGCACATGGTAGTACCACCAGATAACACTGCATTAGCGAATAAGTCTTTACGAATATCAGCATCACATTCCTTAATGCTATTGAATGTTAATTCATGAATACCAGTGGATTCTGCTTCAAGGAGGCAAGGCTTGAACATGACCTCAGGACATCTGAACCTTGCATTACCAATGGTGATGACCTTTCCGTCAGGAAGTTCAAAGCTCTCCTCTACAGATGATGAAGATGTAGCAGTTGCCATTTCCTGTTCGAAATCTAGAGCAACATAGCACAATTTCTCTTTAATGTCTTTGACAATTTCTCTTTCAGCCGTGGTTGTGAAGGAATAACCACGTTCTATAAGGAGTTTCATGAGGTAATGCGTCAGATCGCGCCCAGCAAGTTTCAGTCTCTTAGTGGCGTGGGGAAAGTAATAACCCTCGTAGATTGGTACTGTGTGCGACACACCATCACCGGCATCAATTACAATACCAGTTACCTTACCATTAGAAAACAGTGCAAGTACAGCCTGAATAGCGACGTACATGGCGGGGGAGTTGAAGGTTTCGAACATAATCTGTGTCATCTTTTCTCTGTTGGCCTTTGGGTTAAGTGGAGCCTCGGTCAGAAGGACAGGGTGTTCCTCTGGGGCCACACGGAGTTCATTGTAGAAGGTGTGATGCCAGATCTTCTCCATGTCATTCCAGCTGGTGACAATGCCACGTTTTATCGGATACACTGTAAAATATTGTCGATTTTGAAGAATGCAACTGTAACAAGTAATGCTGTTGTACAGTCATGTTTTTAAAGGAAATGTTTAATAACTCAACCATACTTGGTCGATATTAGTCCAGTGGTTCTCGGAAAGAAATGAAATAGTGGGGGGGCGGGGGGGGGGAACTGACAAAAGAGGGGTCGAAGTCAACACATGAGGTACAAATTCGATTACCTAGAACATTTTACTGTTATAGAGCATCTGGCAAAGGGCACTACATAGGTTTTTCGTACCAAATGCATAAAGATGGCATTGTCTTATTCCAAATTGTAATTGCATAAGAAAATGTGTGAAACTGTCAGCAAAAAGAAAAAAAAAGTGCTGGGTACCAACTATATAATTTTTCATCTTCTCATATTAAAGCCTACATGGAAATGCAGTAATTGATTTTTAACCCCCCCCCCCCCCCAAAAAAAAAGATGTATGCATACCATGCACAATCAATTATAGGTTTAATGTGAATAGAGATTTTCGTATTTCTCATTATCCATAACAGAATTTTACTACATTTGAGGGCGAGGATACCTCCGTTAGCCCTGGCCTCGTCTCCTACATAGGTGTCTTTATATTCTATGCCAACCATGATACCCTGAAAAGGACAGTTTTGACATATGGAAGATAAGTTTTTTCATCAAAGGCTAACATGTTTATCTTGAATAACCAACAATATATTACGGACACATATATATGCTATCAGATTAACTTTTCACATGGGCGATATTCCATATATCAATATTTGTGAACAGACGTTGAAAAAGGTTAGAGACACGCAAGTATATAAATTCAACATAATTGATGAACCTAATTATAGTCTATGCTTTTCTTTTTATTTAATCAAGCGATTATAAATATTTTTTTTTAATTTTCTTGCCTTCTGTTTGGGGCGACCAACAATGGTCGGAAACACCGCACGAGGACCGTCATCTCCAGCATATCCGGCTTTGCACATATCTGAACCATTGTCAATTACTATCGGTGGCTTATGTACATCTCCCATTCTTTAGATGCATGTATCAGTGATATTCTATCTTCAGTTATAAGAAAACCTGTGGATGGATCTCTTAATGTATCAATACTTCCAAGGCATCCCTCTGTCAAATTGGGTAAGAATGGTGTTGAACTAGATTGAAAATTGTTTCCCCACCGCAAGTTTGAACTTTCCCTCATATTTCAGAATCCTTCAATATTTCTACAAACTAGAAAAAAAAATTAAAACGTTTTTATCTCAATTTCATCTACTATTAGGATATATCAATGCAAAATAAAATAATACAAAATTGATAATACTTAACATTTCACCACAAAACAAACAGACACGAATTAAGCGGTTTGCATAAAATTTACCCTACAAACTTGATCTTGATTCACAATGATGTCTAAGCAGCTTAATTTACGGGTACATTTTCAACAGAGTCAGGGCCATCTCAATCAAGAAAACATTGATGTTGTCATCAATTATTGCCCAGGAAATAAATGAAGTAAAATCTTGATCATTAAACCGCTTCGATTTCTGTGATGAAGACACACGTCTGAATGATTGAGACTATAGTCGAGAAGATTTACGGAAAACTTCTAATCGGGTGAAAATCGAACAAAAACGATACCGTTTTAAACTTTATAATTTTCTCAAGTAACTGTTGGCTGCATAAAATATGAATTAGAATCAGATACATGTATCACCTATGATCAAAAATATATTTGACTTAATGAATATGAAACACAAACTTTGTAATGTACGTTTTTATGCGATAAGTTAAATTTAATGTTCTAAAAGAAAAAGGACCTGTGGTTTTGTCGATAGTAAATGATAAGCAATTTTGTATATTACATATGAAAAACATATATATTTTTGAAGATGTACTTCATGAAAGTAAATATATTGTATATCTCGTTATAAAGGGAAAGAACATTCTGATGTATAATCTTTTTAATGTATAGTTAACCTTTGATTCTGAATAACTTCTCCCACCTCAGTCCTATACACCATAACTTAACTTATATGTATAGAGCAGCCGGTCCTCCGTGCTGCAATAATGACTTTTTATCACATATTAATTTCTAAAGGAGTTTGGAGTTAATTCCCATATGCCTTCACCTCCGACAAAGGTTAAAACATAAATTTGGTGGGTAGTAATCAATTTTACAGCGGGTCCTATAACTTAATTCTTTATAACTACCTGCACACTGTCTCCAACATAAGACATATATATATATATATATATATATATATATATATATATATATATATATATATATATATATATATATATATATATATATATATATATATATATATGTGATAAAGGATAGAGGGCAAAGGTCACCGATTCGTAATGAAAGCAGTACCTTTGAAACAGAGACGAACAGAGAATAAAAACAGTATTGCTTGCCCAATTTTTAAAACAGAATAAATTAAATCAATAATTACACTGCATCTCCTACTATATATATAGGTACCATCAAAACTAAATTTATACATTTCATTGCCACTATTTTTTCTTTAGCAAATACATTATTATTTGTCATAGAAAACTCAATCCTGATTTCCTACAAACAAAACTTGCCTGGAAACATAGTCTACATCCCTCTTGCATTTTTAAATAATCACATAATTACATAGATGGCTTTAATCTAACATAACTCACATAACCAATCGTACAATGAAATCCGTCTTTATTGACTCACAGATCTCCGAATTGCAAAATACCCTGGATCAAGTTTATAACTAGACGCCATTTCTTTTCTAACTAATACCACTGAAACATGAAGTCAGCCTAAGTAAAGAGAAATAGCTATATTGTGATGAATTTTTAAAACATGAAAATACCCGAGTCACTTCGAAATGACAAATATATTCTGACCACTTGTCTCGCGAGATTTGACACATTGCGAAGTATGAAAAAATATCTGAAAATTACCAGAATAGAAAAGGCAAAGGTCTGTTTGAAATGTGTGTCATTTTGTGTAAATTTAGATATGAATGAACTTCGTAAACAGCTGAGTCGACATGTTTTACTACAGGTGTTCATAAAGCGTGACGAATAAATGACACATCAGTTAAAACGAATACCTGTGACATTAGTCATTCTATAACAGCTTACTGAGATAATTTTGTGACATCGTCCATAATTTATATAAAAGTCAGTGGCTAATCTATAGCTTCATAGGTTTTCTTTAAAAAAAAACAAAACAAAAAAAAAGCAATTAATTCAAGGGATTTCCAGTAGGATTATATAGAGAATACCATCCTTTAGAACCTTGCACAAAAGCATGGTACCTTAATTTTATTTAATGATTCAATCACAATTTCTTGGCAAAAATTATATATTACAGAGGTTCGAGTCGCCTGGCCCAAATATCAGTCCACACATGACTATTATTTACTTACTACTATATGTACATTGTACATTTATATGCCAAGATTCACTTTTATATAATCTTATCTACTTTATAAATTAGAAGACGTATTATTCTTTTCTCGTCGAAACATATGTATATATTTAAAAAAAAATGCATTTTCTGTAGTAAGCTCTACATTGCATCACATGTATGGCGTAGTGTAACAGGGTTTTCTTATGAACTGCTTACACGATGGTACATCTCCTAAATACTTATCACAAAATAAAACACAATACATTTATAGTTTTAATATTTATTAATATATCAGTAACATATGTAAATATAAATAACAAAATATAAAATTATCAAAAATGAAATATTATCATCTTGATATCATGAGAAGTATGTAAAATTCTGCAATATGCAAAAATTAAATGTAGTAAAAGGATAAATGAGTCTTTAGAAGCATTTCCTGTGAACAATGGATGGACCAGATTCGTCGTATTCCTGTTTGCTAATCCACATCTGTTGGAAGGTGGATAGAGAAGCAAGGATAGAACCACCAATCCAGACGGAGTATTTCCTCTCTGGTGGAGCAATGATCTTGATCTTCATTGTGCTAGGAGCTAAAGCTGTGATTTCTTTCTGCATACGGTCAGCAATACCGGGATACATGGTTGAACCACCAGATAATACTGTATTAGCGTACAAGTCTTTACGGATATCAACATCACATTTCATGATACTGTTGTATGTAGTTTCATGGATTCCAGAAGATTCCATTCCTAGGAAAGATGGCTGGAACATGGCTTCTGGACATCTGAATCGCTCGTTGCCAATAGTGATGACCTGTCCGTCAGGGAGTTCATAGCTCTTCTCTAGGGCTGAAGAAGATGCAGCAGTTGCCATTTCCTGTTCAAAATCTAGAGCAACATAGCATAATTTCTCTTTAATGTCTCTGACGATTTCTCTTTCAGCTGTGGTTGTGAAGGAATAACCGCGTTCTGTAAGGATTTTCATGAGGTAGTCGGTGAGATCACGACCAGCGAGATCCAGTCTCATAATGGCGTGAGGGAGGGCGTATCCCTCATAGATGGGTACTGTGTGAGAAACACCGTCTCCAGAGTCGAGTACAATACCAGTTGTACGTCCGGAAGCGTACAGGGAAAGTACGGCCTGGATAGCGACGTACATGGCGGGGGAGTTGAAGGTTTCGAACATGATCTGTGTCATCTTTTCTCTGTTGGCCTTTGGGTTAAGTGGAGCCTCGGTCAGAAGGACAGGATGTTCCTCTGGGGCCACACGGAGTTCGTTGTAGAAGGTGTGATGCCAGATCTTCTCCATATCGTCCCAGTTTGTAACGATTCCGTGTTCAATGGGGTATTTCAGGGTGAGGATACCCCTCTTGCTTTGGGCCTCGTCTCCTACATAGCTGTCCTTCTGTCCCATACCAACCATTACACCCTAAGTAATAAAAATAAATGTGAATTTTAATTCATAAAATTTCGTTCCCATACCAACCATTACACCCTAAATAATAAAAATAAATGTGAATTTTAATTCATAAAATTTCGTTCGATTATTTCAATAAAAGTTAAATTTATCATTATAATCATCCTCTAAACGGAAGGGGTCCTCCGTCCACATGTGGTTCTGGGACGGAATTCCACTACCGCGTGTGGACTCAGGACCCCTGATTTTGTAAGAATGCATTATAGTAAGATGATCCATTTTACATTTTTTAAAAAGATTTTATCAGGTGATTCTAAGCACACTGCACTATAGGATAACTGTTTTACATGAAGTATGACATAAAAATAATGTTTATTTCGGAACTTTTTAATTTAGTTAGACAGACTTGCAAATTTAGAATGAAATTGGGGACATTTACAAGATGTATTAACTTGTACTAAAACTATTCACTGTGATATTAGACATTTATTTTGTTAGGCTGTTTATGTGTAATTACCACGCCTTAATTTTGATACCAAGCGTAAACACCGTTTTTCATTTTCAATATGGTTTTGATATAAGAAATATATAAATATTTAAAGAAGATAAGAGCAATAGGACAGAGTACATTATTATCGTAAAATTTACTGTCTTTATAATTTTTTAAAATTGAATTTTTCCTACCTGATGTCTGGGGCGTCCGACGATGGAGGGAAATACAGCTCTGGGGGCATCGTCTCCGGCGAATCCGGCCTTGCACATTCCGGATCCATTGTCGATAACTAAAGCTGCAACGTCTTCGTCTCCCATTTTTTTTCTTTTTGGATGTAAAATTAATTCTATTCACTCTAGGATCTCCAGGTATAATGAGTGAGGATCTCGGTCATTGCGACTGTTTAAATACACCAGTGAAACAGTCAACTAGAAAAAAATCGCCTTATATGGTAAAAAAGTGTTTGAGTTTAAATGTCTGGGAATAACCTGATACACCCGCAGGAAGTTGTATAATAGAGGTCGGTATGTGGATATGTGTCAACAGGTTTAGGTAGTTTAAAAAACCTGGTCTTTTCTAGCTGTAGGTGTTCCATGGGCATGACGAAGGAATGACACGTCAGTAGAAACTATGTATGTACATCAAGAATCTTGCCATGCAAGTCACCTGTTTTTGATCGATTAAAAACATTTGTAGTATTTTATTATGCATTATGTCATGTTTTTATCAGACCCTATTCCATTCATCATTTACAGATGATTACAAAATAACAAAAGACACCAGCAGGTTTGAAAGACCTTCCAGAAGTGTTTGAACTTACGTTATTAGCTATATGGCGTTATTGAGGTCGCTAATTTCAATTAATTTTTTTTATATACGTTTATATATATATTTTTTTAATTTTTAAGTCTCATTCTCAATTTTGGGAACTCTAGAAGACAATTATTTAAAATCCTATTAAGTAAAAACACCACAAAATTTATTGTGTGTCCTGTTTTATTTATCATTTTACTGATATCCAGATTATACTGAAATCATTACTCTACTTATTCAGATCCAAATTGATTTTCAAAAATCATTTTAGTGTGAATTTTTTTTCCTGATTTTTTTTAAATCTATTTATTGATTTATTTATCTTATTAGTTCTTTTTGTTTTTGATTGATCAGTAATCTGTCAAATTTATTCGATGCGGACCATTTTACGAACAAAATGATCTACCTCTGTTTTCTAGAGAGGATTTAAACGGAAGAAATCAATTCGAAATCATAGAGGATAGGCGCATACAACTTATAGTCCAGCGCATTATAACAAAACAAGAGAACAATTGAAACACCTGCATAATATAAATATAAAACCAGTGCACATATAATTAAAAACTCTTAAAGACATTAAGACAGGGGGCATATATGCATTACTAGATTAAATACCTGCAGTGGTTAGGAATGTAACCGCCAAATATACAGTGTAGGTGGATCAGGGATAACTTCTGTCATAGATTAAGATCCCCCTGTCTAATTTTTACTTGATCGAGTGGAATTCCCCCCTTGGAAAAATGTGTGCTTTAGAAGAGACTTTCCCAGGGGAAAATGATAAGCTAGAGTCATTCTCTCCCCCCCCCCCCCTTTAATTAACAATCAAAGTGAGATTCCCCTTCTATAATGCTCATATGTAATTATATGTTAGTGATAAAGTGAGGACTTTAACATATTTTTCAAGGGTTTGGGTTAATTTCATGAGTTTTGGAGACATCGGTGGATCTGGAGGAGCTACCTGGGATGCCCCGTTTGATTCTAGAGAGAGAGAGAGAGAGATTTGGTATTTTCTGATTTCAGAAAATCCTTAAAATGTTTATATGATTTACATTTCTTCTCCCCGGTTGGGGCCTCTGTATCAAATGAGATGATAAGGTTACCGCGTGGTTATATTAGATAAGTTAACTTGGTGTTTAAATCATTACTTTACAGTCTATTATTTACATTATCCAGATATAGTACGATAATTAAATTTATTTCATTTCTATATAATTCTAGTAGAATTAGGGGGGTTAAAAATAATATTTAATAATTGTGAAAACCCGACAACTTTTATAATTGCATTTTACACATGCACCCAGAGAGCACAAGTTTTGAAAGACCGATTTGAATATTGGGACCTATTTTTTTTAAACATTTCATTGTTACGTTGCCACAAAATAATATATAGCTATTATTGTACCGAAGTACGACGTTTCTAATTTTCATTGTTGACATTTTGTAAAGAATATGCAAAATATATGAAACAGGAAGTTGCCAGAATTTCATTTTTAAGGACTGTTGGGTTCAAATTTGGTGCCCGGACAGACATGGGATTCTATATATTTTATGGCGGCTGTGATAATACTTTTCATACAAACATATAGAAAAATATCATATAGGGATAGTACTATAGCTACAGTGTCGTTTTGTACCTGTCAAAAAGAATGTTATCGATATTTTATGCACTATCATAGAAACTTTCATATGTTTTTTTTAATTATGCGCTACAGAGTGCTATTTCATCAGTATGCGACACATTCCTACAGGTAGCTTGAAAAGTTGGACAAAAGTGATCTAAAGTAGGCCTTTGTAAAACACTAAAAAAAAGATGACAATTTGCAGTCTTGCATTCTTGTAGCCAGCGATAAAAATTTACGGTCTTCTTCATACTAAAGCAAGCAGTTTATTAAGAATCTAAATTACATGTACAAGAAAATACAATATAAAACTTTTAAATAAATTGAAATTATTCTATTTTCCCCCTCATCCAATATCATAATATGAATACAGTTTCTGCACAACTCTGTAAGCTTCAATAAAGAACAAATTGACAATGACACTACTTGGGGGGTGGGGGGGGGGATTTACTGAGAAGCAATCGGAACATATATCTGTTACTGTATACCTGTGAAACAATGTCATGAAATATACTCCTAATCCAAAAATAAGGAATGACAGCGCCATAATATACAGTGTTTATCCCAAAAGTTACTGACGGTTTTGTAAAGATATATATATATATATATATATATATATATATATATTAGCTGAATTTACATTCAGTCTTTAGAAACACTTCCTGTGGACAATGGATGGACCAGATTCGTCGTATTCCTGTTTGCTGATCCACAACTGTTGGAAGGTGGATAGAGAAGCAAGAATAGAACCACCAATCCAGACGGAGTATTTCCTCTCTGGTGGAGCAATGATCTTGATCTTCATTGTGCTAGGAGCTAAAGCTGTGATTTCCTTCTGCATACGGTCAGCAATACCGGGATACATGGTTGAACCACCGGATAATACTGTATTAGCGTACAAGTCTTTACGGATATCAACATCACATTTCATGATACTGTTGTATGTGGTTTCATGGATTCCAGAAGATTCCATTCCTAGGAACGATGGCTGAAACATGGACTCTGGACATCTGAATCGCTCGTTGCCAATAGTGATAACATTCCCGTCAGGGAGTTCGTAGCTCTTTTCTAGTGAAGATGATGCGGCAGCAGTTGCCATTTCCTGTTCAAAGTCTAGAGCAACATAGCACAATTTTTCTTTAATGTCTCTGACGATTTCTCTTTCAGCTGTGGTTGTGAAAGAATAACCGCGTTCTGTAAGGATTTTCATGAGGTAATCTGTCAGATCACGACCAGCGAGATCCACTCTCACGATGGCGTGGGGGAGGGCGTATCCCTCATAGATGGGTACTGTGTGAGATACACCGTCTCCACAATCGAGCACGATTCCAGTTGTACGACCGGAAGCGTACAGGGAAAGTACGGCCTGGATAGAGACGTACATAGCGGGGGAGTTGAAGGTTTCGAACATGATCTGTGTCATCTTTTCTCTGTTGGCCTTTGGGTTAAGTGGAGCCTCGGTAAGAAGGACAGGGTGTTCCTCTGGGGCCACACGGAGTTCATTGTAGAAGGTGTGATGCCAGATCTTTTCCATGTCGTCCCAGTTTGTAACGATGCCATGTTCAATGGGGTATTTCAGGGTGAGGATACCTCTCTTGCTCTGGGCCTCGTCTCCTACATAGCTGTCTTTTTGTCCCATACCAACCATCACACCCTGGAAAAAATATTTTTGAATCTGAATTACTTCAGAATGATTCAAATCCAGAACGTCCACAACGCAATTGCTGACTCTCAATCGTTGAACTGTGTGTGTGTGTGTGTGTGTTTGTGGCCTGGTATTACTTTATTGCATTAAGATCAGACAATTGTGCATTCGCTCCTTACCATATGTCTGGGTCGTCCAATAATGGAGGGAAACACAGCCCTGGGGGCGTCGTCTCCGGCGAATCCGGCCTTGCACATTCCGGAACCATTGTCGATAACTAAAGCTGCAACATCATCATCTGCCATTTTCAAAAGTTTATTTTCTTTTAATTTCAAAAAGTAGAAGAGATATACCACATTGATTTACAAGTCGGTCCTTTCCAATAACCCTCAATCTGCTTTATATATATTCGTGCAACATTACTGGGAGATATTTCCACGCCCATAAGTTTATTAACAGCATCCATATAAGGGAAAATAGAAGGGTAGTTCTTTTTCACTTTGCCTTATAGGGGCCTTATTGGTACATGCCAATGTCTTGGATATTTCAGGTTTCGTGTCACATTCAAAAATAGACCCATTAACCATCATAATTATTTTTTCTCTTCTCCCCCTCTCTCTTTCTCGCTCGCGCGTTCAAGCTTGGGTAATGATGCCAGATGAAGATTATGTTCGATTTTTTTTTTTCGCTTTCAATAGATATGTATTCAATACCCATATACAGAACTTATCAAAATAAAGGGTACTTGTTTCCATATAAGGCATGCTGTAGAAATGTAAACTTTAAAACTCGATCAGCAGTATTTTTAGAAATGACAGATCAAAAATTAGTACAGAACAGATCCTATTGCTAATTGCTATTATCGTCGTCATAATTTGATTGTAGTGCAAGTTATTGAAAAAGAGAGAATTTTACGAAATATTGCCCCGAAGTCTGCCTGCCCTGATTACTTTTCATTCCTGGAGGCATATTTCAGTGGCGGATCCAGGATTCTTGAAAAAAAAAGGGGGGTCGGGGTTTGACCCAGGGGCCACAAAAAAATTTGATTTATATAAATCCTTTGTATATTTTTGGACACAAAGGGGGAGGGCTAGGCCCCCTTTAAATCCGCTAGTGTATTTGATGAAGCGCGTTAGCTTGGATGAAAAGTATTAGGTCGTATCCTAGTAGTACTAGTATCACTCCCCATGGGCTATAGTTCACAGGAATGCAAATGCAAAAATATAAAAGGATTAAAGGATTCTTAAAGAGAAATCGCGTCGTACGTAAATATTTGAAAA